CTTGAACATAGTGAATTTCTTGAGGCTTAGAGTCCAATTACTGCTTGTTCTCATGCCCAGTTTCTGTAACATAAACTGGATGGGAGTATCTCTACTTCTTCTGGATGAGTTACCACCAGGCATTTTGTCAAGTTTCCATCATGACAACTTACTGGTACCCATTTCTCTCCTGGGTGGAGAGTGGCACAGCACAGTGAACTGGCTGGGACTGAAACCCTATGCTTTGGACCCAGTGTCTCTCTCTCTATTGTATACGTACTTTAAAATAATGTTTATTTAATTTGTTGTTTACCTAGGCTGTATATCAGGACCTGTGTAAAGATTATCAGGTTGAGATTCCACAGTGTAAACCATTGTCACCCGGAGAGATTCTGGGCTGCACTGCTCCCAGAATAAAAGACAAGGATGCATTCATGTGAGAACGTGCTTAAGGGAGACGGGAAAATATGTAACATAATCAATTGTGAATTTGAAAAAACACACCAACTGTTTCCTTGTGGATATTTCTATACAGCCAATTTTCTGACATCAGTTTGAAAAGAATTGCACTGTGAAGTCTGAGGCTCTGTACTCTTTAGTAAATGTTCTGAGCCAAGGATTGTTGCAGATAAGACCTGAGGAAAATAAGAGCAGTCTGTTCATGTACTCCTCTTGTCCATGACTTGTAAAGAAAGCTAGCATGTAGCTTTGGAGGAATTCTGTGGCTTTTTTTGTCGTTGTACTTATGGCATATTTATTGTTTAGTATCAGTGCTTAGCAACAACAGAGCCCACTATGACTAAATTATTTAAAATCGTGCCACAAAAATTAAATTGGGAAACTGATGAGTGGGTGTTATGTTTCTGATTAGAGTTTGTTTTGCCTCTGTGTTAACCACTTCCATTGTTACCAGTTGCTATCATTTAAGTACATGTCACGTTTAAATTTAATGCTTTGTTATGTTGATTTGTTTTAGTTACTTAGGTGATGGAAGGTTTCATCTAGAAGCTGTTATGATAGCTAACCCATCTATACCAGCATACAGGTGCATTTAGAGAACTTTAAATAGGAGATTTGTTTACGTGTTACAAATTGCTGGGTCCCAACATACAGCTTCTTATTTACTCAATTGGTTGCAGTGCTCAACTGTTAGAAAGTAGGCACATATCATATGTTCAGCCATCACTGAAGCCTGATTTTTCCAATCTCTTTCTTGTAATTCTATAAAAATCAATTCTTTGCTTTTTAGAATACAAAGTTGTTCATCTCCAGTAAAAGCACACTGTCGGTGTGGACAGAGTGCGATTCCCGTCTGTTTCAGGGTTGTCCTTATGTTCTCACCAAAACAGACCCCTTCCCTCCCCTCCCCCATCCGCTTCATGTGCTTTGGTGTGTTAGATATTTCATACCTTTGTGGGCCTTTGAGCAAACCGTTTATTCTACTGTACTATCGCTTTCATCGCAGGTACGATCCCTATAGCAAAGTGTTTTCCAGGGAATATTACGATATTGATGCCATGTTTCAAGCGAGGAAAGACGCCATAAGTACAGCGTCAAGAGCTAAGAAATTTGGACTCATTCTGAGTACGTTAGGAAGGCAAGGAAGTCCAAAGGTGCTAGAGGTAAATTGCATAAAGCTAACATCTGAGAACTTCATGAGTGGATATACTCTGTGTTTTTCAAAAGAAAACCTTCAGTTGTGTGTTAAAAGTGATCCAGAGGCAATCGGTTCGCCATGTGGTTGGCTGACATATGAAATGCAAGGTAAAAAACAATCGTGATTGGTCAGCAGTGTTTTACAATCTGTACCTTTTACTCTTAGTTCTCAGCGGCGTTTCCTGATATTTTCTTGCTTTCTGATTGGCCGTTCGCCTGCTTATGGTTTTGGTATTAATGCAAACAATCGATATGCTTTCCAAGAAATGATCCAAACTCTCCAGACAAAATCAAGTCATTTAAATATATTAAGTTGCTCTGATGCTATAACAATGAATATTAGAAGAGGTGCAGTTGTGGTATTGATTAAAATTTAAATTCTTTAGTCTTTTTTGGATGAAACGTTCTACTATTTTCGCCAATGCAGTGGAATCCTCTCCTTTGGGGCATCCGTTTTCAAAGGGCGTCTCCATTCAAGAGAAACAAACTCTGAATCAAATTTAAACTAAAAGTGCCCTTACAATCCTTCTATTCGTTGCTGTCATTGACGTGACACCCTTCGTTCGGGGATATTTTCTTCTGACGCTCAATTTTCATAGTATTATTATCTTTCCCAAAGAGCTTGTAAGATAGATATCATAAAACATGTTATCCTTTATTTTCATCTGCAGAATTTAGAACAACGACTCAGCAAGGCGGGCCTGGAATATGTCATTGTGCTGATGTCTGAGATTTTTCCGGGTAAACTTGGTTTGTTTGAGGACGTGGGAGCGTAAGTTGCTTTTCTTGTTCAGATGATTATATTGCTTTCCTTCGAAAAGAACCGTCTTCGCGTTAATTCTGTTTTGTCAAGTGCGTCCTCAACAGAAAATCTCATACCATTGTGAGTTTTTTTTTTTTTTTTTTTTTTTTCAATTTGCCCCTCTCCCCCCCTTCCTTGGTCTGGAAGCTCTAGAAACAGATAGGCTCCATAGGAACTTATCAGAGCCTTGATCACATCAAGCACGCATGCTTGAAAGCGAAAACGGACGAGGAAAGGACTCTCTTTCTATTTTTACGTGACTTTTCGCTCGTGCGTGTTTCTTCAAAACACACCCGTCAGCGCCAGTGATTTTTTTGTTGGCACAATAATGAAACTTGCGAAATTTTCCAACCTCAAGGACTGGAAGTTAGGTTACGCGAGAATGAGGACAGTTTAAAAATATTGCCTCTTCTATATTCGTGAATTTAGGAGTTTCGTTGAGAATTTATTATCTCCCTTCGAGAAGGCTGCAACATTTCAGCGTACAGTAAATTTTACCAGCATGCTACAGAAAGTCGTTGAGAACAAAGATTCAGTCTTGCATATGAGTGTGATTCCCACCCATCTGCAGTTAAAACTTAGCTTTGCCTCCAAGCTTTACTAATATTTCTTTGTCACTTTGTAGATGGGTGCAAGTAGCTTGTCCACGATTGTCCATCGACTGGGGTTACGCTTTTCCAAAACCTCTGCTGTCGCCTTACGAGGTAAAATAATTGAAATTCGTTACTATCAGATACAGTTGAGTGTGTTAGCGAAAATCGTCAAAGCTGAGGTTCTTGTAATCTGCTCAAGTTGAAAGCTTAGATGAATGACACAAACCGAGCGCTTGGTGATTCTCGGTATCGTAAGGAAACCGAGTCAAATAGCTTCGTTCTTCACAGACGTTAGACCAAAATAATCACAACGGCCGTTTCGAACAAGGAAAAACTTCACAAGGACACAATGAAAATCGAGGTTAAAAACAAGCAAGCAAGCGCTGGTGAGTGAGTGTCGACAGTAATACGGGGTTGCTTTGGTGTTCCTTCCTTCCGCTCTGTGATTGGTTCAGAAAAACTCGTGCAGCCAACTTGGTTATTCGCGTTTTCTCGCGCTTCAAGCAGGTTGCTTGTTTTTACTTTGAGTTCTCATTGGTTAGTGATGATTTAACCTTTGTTCTGATTGGTAGTTGTGATTACTGTGGTTTTGGTTTTTTCGCATTCACTAAAAGACTGCTCTATTGCGAGTGACCAAGTCTCGATTCGTTTTGCGCGATTGGTGAGGGGGGGATTGCCCAAATTTCTAGAGTAGTCATAAGGCGAAATACAGCGAAACAATGGTAGAGTGATTGATTTAGACTTGATTTAGTCTGGTGGGAGTTTTAGTCATGTCTTAGAGAGCAATTCGGTTGTTCCGTAACACCCAAACCGCAGTAGTCACTGTCAAACCAACGGTCGTTCAGAACGCTTGAAAATATCATTAAAAGTCAAAGAGAACTAAAAGCAGAAGCTACAGTGTATGAAACTGGGATAGCTTTGGTCAGGCACTTGAAAACTGTTCTCATTGGAGTCTTTTTGTTGAATTTACAGGCGTCAGTTGTGCTTGAACAAATCGAATGGCAAGAAAATTACCCAATGGATTTCTACGCAAACACCAGTTTGGGACCCTGGACTGTGAATAATGAGCGAAATAGACAAATACCGGTTAGCATTAGAAAAAAGAATTTGCACACAGAAAAGCTGTCTGCGGAAAATGTTTCATTAAATGTAGAGAGCAAGGAAGGATGCGATGGACAACCTAAGGAGTGCTGTGGGAAATGCTATCATGAAAAGCTACTTAAGTTACAGGAAGATAAAACTAATCCACAGTGATATAGAGTGCTTCTAGCAATAGCTAAAACAGTCGCCTTAGAAAAACATTCGGGAAAGAGAAGGCTTCTACCTTTTCTTTCGCTCGAATTGGACAGAGAGGTTTGCGATCGAGTATGCAATACCAAAACTATGTCGGCCAATCAGAATAAAGTAATTATCACGAGGAGCCAATGAGAAGTGAAACTGGGTTAAGCGCGGGAAAACACGAATGTCTAAGCCGTGATTGGTTTCAATTCTCCATTTGGACCTGATTGGTTGTGCCGATGGCGTGAGTTTTTTGGACCAATCATGTCGAGAGTCCCATTTAAGAATATGATTGAGATCGCTGGCCAGTGAGCCGCAATTCAAATCAATTAAACTGATATCATACGAACTAATATAATGAGAGCAAAAGAAACGTTCACTTGCAGCAGCAGCAACAGAAAAGTGGACCAAATCAATAGAAGTTTAGATTCTTGAAATGACCACAGAGTGTACATAACTTACATACCTTTGTATTCTGTAAAATCTAAGACATGCCTTCACCCCGAGACAGAAAATAAAACTGGGCACGCAACTAAACAAAAAAAAAAAACGCCTGTTCTCAAGTTAAGAGCGAGTTGTAAGGCTCTTTTGTGGGTAGTGACTCACGAGGAGAGGTTTGTTTATCCGTCGTTGTGTGATTCATCTCTAGTGAGAGTGAGCTAGACAGTACAAGATGGTTCTTAAAGGAGCTTGTCGTTTCAAAGACCAGTCATTCTTTATCGGTAGGGGTGGGGGAAGGGGGTTGTCGCGGAATTCCGCGAGTTTGAACTGTAGCAACTGGAAACTATCTAGAGGCCTGGCTTTCAGCTCGGAGGCCTGGGACTGAAAAACGTGTTTTAAATAAACGAAAACCTTTGAACAGAGGACGATTTTTTTCTTTAACTTCGCAAAGGAATTGTAAATTTGGAATAAATGTGACTGCGTCAAGTGCTTTTTACTGTTTCATGAGCGCTAAGTGATGAGCAGGGAAGTGTGCTTCGTTTTGTGTGCGCCTAACCCTCTTGTCAAGCACGTGCAAAAGCATCAGCCTCGCAAGCTAAGAAAACAGCGAATGTTCAGCCTACAACAAAGAGTCTACAATGCTTACCGAAAAAGGAGTCTTAGAATAAACTAACTGATAAATATCTATCGTGGAATACCAATTCTCTGGAACACGTGACTAAGATGTGCTCATTTGTAATACATAGAATCAACCAGAGAGAAAACACAAAATGTTCTGATTAATCTACTTTTTGCGGCTTTTAGGGTCAACTTATCCATGCAGGAAAATCTGGAACAAACCTTGGGAAAAAGAACTCAAATTTTCAGAATAATAGCATGTTAACTGTTATGAAACCCCAAAAGTTCCTCAAATGTTCAGAATAATAGCATGTTAACTGTTATGAAACCCCAAAAGTTCCTAAACTGTGAAAGGTACCCAATTCCCCGTTTTTTACAAGTACGCTTGCTTACGGTATCTACCTTCACAATATACTTGGACACAGATGTTAGAAAATGAAATGTTTTGGGAGGTAACTCAAGGGAAATGGGCAATGTATTTGTGAAAACCCTTTGATCCGTTGAGCCTGTCTTAGTAAATTCAGATGTTGCATTTGGGCAAACATTGGCTACTTCCAATGCAAATGAAAACAATCCGTGATCTCGTCTCAAAAACAACAAACAGTTGGAGTCCAGGTTCTTTACAGCTGTCTTCGTATCAAACATTTTGCTAGGAACACCGTTCTCAAACAACAATCCTTTCTTAGTGACGTCAGAGGTTTGAGTTTTGGCGCATGCGCAAAGCTTGATATCGACTGACTTGTCTGCACAATTTGCAAACTTGCTGTAGGTCGATACTCTAATGGAATTTAGAAAAAATATTCCGTCTTTCGGTTGAGCGAACTGTTTGACGGAGACTCTAAACACTTCATCCTCATTGTATCCAGTAGGAGGGAACACGTGAATGTGCATACTCGTTACCATAAATTCTCCTCGGTTTCGTTTGATCCCTTTCGAAAACGATTTGCCAACTAAGCGTTCGCAATTTCCATAGCCAGTTGAGCTGGCACCTTCTGAAAAGAGGAGAAAAACGTATATTTCAGTTTATGTCTCCATGGGCAAAGACTTAGCACTTAAACCCCTTTGATGAAACTCCTTGAATTGAAACAGACTCCTAGTCTCTGTCGATCTGCCCATAAAGGGATTGCAACGAAACAGAGCATAAGATAACAAGAATGTTTATGACGAAACCAAGCAGGGGATGATTATACTCATGTCGGCGATATGACGCAAACTTGGCGCTAATGCTTAAGTCAAGAGATAACAATTGTGACAAAATACAGGTCTAAATATTTTATTCCCAAGGAGATATCTGGTGTCCCTGTGAGACTCCAAATAACTCCATTGAGAAACTACTTTTGGTTATAATTCCTACAAGGGTAATAAATGCCATTAAAGTTCTCAAAACAACGGTAAAATGTTTCATTGACTGATTTCTTTATCCGTGCTGATGCAGAATGTTCAGTTTAAGACCAATCAGTTATTAAAGCAGAGTCACTCCTAGCTTAGTTCCACCTGGTGTAATTTTCTCATGGAATTTCTCTTAATATCTTACCTTCTCTATGTTGCCTTTGTATAGCATTATTTATGTATCCAACTGCAAATTCTGCCAGCCACTTATGGTCATCTGCATTTTCTTTTATCTCAACTTCTTCATTAAAACCTTCACATTTACATCTGGTCAAGAGAAGCATTTCGAGGTCCGCACATGCGCGGTTTGCTAGAATCTCTGAAAAGATTCCTGTCACTGAATGATCCACAGATTCCATTTTATCAGGATCATTCAAACTCATTAATGCTCTGTGTACATCTTGAAGCGCGAAAAGGCGCTTTTGGTTAATGACTAGCGCGTTCATCCTTTGTGGACCAATTTTTTCCCTTACACCATCAGGAAGAATCATAAAAAATACTGGATCGTACAGCTCTCTGCCTCCCTCTTCAGTGTGGCGAAACGGAGTCCTTGTGTGACCGTCACGTGGTCAGATAATATCATAATTAGAGTATCAGGAAAAGAAGCCAAATCAATGAAGAATTTGGCCATGTTGGCGTCCATGTTAATCATCCGTTTTAGTCTCGTGTCCGGTATTAAAGTGCATGTAAGACAACAAAGGTTTCGCTTTCTCGTCGCTTCTCAGAGCAGTGTACACCTTTGTTATGTAGTCCATGAAATACCAACTGTAAAACTTGCCATTTAAGCAGTTCTTCTGGGGATAATCGTAATGATTGGTCTAACGAAGCATTTTGTCTAACTCCGTGCATGAAAATGTGTAATACCCTTATGGTCAACTTGTTTCTTAGCCACCTTGTCTTGAAATTCTTTCCGCCTACAATGAAATATGTTGTTAATTTGTTAGGATAATCAAATAAGCACTGTACTATTTTACTACTTTCTAGAGATCTGTGTATTATCGGACAGCACGCATGACTGTACGTTTTGAGTTTATTTTAAAAGAAGAAATGAAGATGTTCTTGAGATAATTTTACTTTCATCTGTGGTCAAATGGTTCATATAGCCATTGAACTGTGCTTCTTGACTGAATATTGACTCTGCTTCACAATTTGTGCCTATTGTATAAACTCAAAGTGACACTCACCTAGGTAACAATATTCAAAGAACCTTAACTTACCTGGGATCTGTCAACCTCTCGAAGCACATATTGTCTAACTTTATACCAAATGCGTGTTCAAAGCTTTTCAAGGGAGGCAAGAACTTATAGCTGCAATTAAGGTATAGTTACAGAAGAAAAACCTTTGTTCTCTGCAAAAACAGACAGGTAAATTACCTTAAAAACCGACCGAACACTTTTATCAGAACAAAGCATCATGTCAGCATCAAACATGCACCATGGACCCGGTTATTACCTCTCTCTGAACTCAGAACTCGACCGAGGCACTGTTCTTTTTTCAATGTCTGTTAACATGCTCCCCCAATCATCGTACCAACAAATATCCTTTTGAAAGAACGTCTGGTAGCCTCATTTCTTAAAGGTCCCATACAACACCTCCACACCCAAGGAAGCTTTGGTGTTTTTTGCAGAAGCAGTAACTTGGTTGTCATCTGAAAACGTTAAAAAAAATGTTCTCATAAGTACAACATAAAGAAGTCATAGCTACCCAGATGGGAAAACGTACGTCATTCGATTTTCCACCTACCTTCGAGGGCGCCACAGAAGAACGGCTTTATGATTTCAAATGTCTGTTGTCCTATTCCCTGAACAAGTTCAAAGTCCAAGGTAGCAGCCTGAATCTTAAGATTATGTGAAACGCTGTGCAGAGCATCTACTGCCCTTGGAAGAATTCGGTAAAAATGCGGCCTGGAGATAGAGTCTAACGGAATCACATTTAAATTGATTCTAGTTCTTTTTTTTTGCCGCCGTCGACTTTCTTCAAGACCGGAGGAAAGCTGAGCACTTGGAAAATGCCTCCACATCTTAGGAAAAGAAAATCAAATCCTCTTCCCAAATGTTCTTTTGACAATAATTTCCAGTCCGTCACGGCTTTTCCCATTTCTGGATCAACAGAAGCTATTTCAACCGCGGACGAGCCGCAGACCTTGGGGTCACATGACAGGGTCTGGTCCCCAGATTCTGTTTTTCCGAACGCACAGATGTCTGGGTAATGAGTGCCATCACATTTCCTATTCTCGATACGTCCCCACGGTCCCTAATGATCAATAATTTGTTTCATACCATCTTGATCTGGTCTAAAAAAGAAAGGCATGTATATGATTCCTACAGTTCAACAGCTAGCATTAGTTAGCATTTGTTGGGATTGCTCCTCGTATCAGCCAATCAATTTTGTTTTTGAGCCAGCATCTAAGTGACTCTCCAAGGAAGACCGTATAATAACTTAGAGATCTCAATTGAATTAAAGAGGTGGTCTATTTCGTCTTGAGTATATCCTTCTTGACGTAGGCTTCTGATGACAAATAAACACTTGTTGGCTTCATGGAGCTTGGCCTTGACATGCATGCTGAACTTACAATTACCTTGAAATGTGACGCCCAATAAAGAAATGTTATTATATTGTTTGATATTGTGACACATTGGGTAGACTGTTGAATTGCCTTTCTTACGCATAACGAGCTCCTTACACTTACTAGTACAATGCATGCTGTTTGCAACAGTCCAATCCATAAACTGGAAACCTGTTTAGAGCCCAGATCCTTGCAAGAACAACCAAGCAACAGGTGCAAAGATCTTTATAGAATAAAATCAAGTCCATAGCTAAGCCGTTGATGGCTGGATATCAAATCAAGTCTACAGAGTATCAGTTAAGCCTCGTCTTACCTGTGAGGGTTGCACTTGATTTCAGTTTGGTTACCTAAGTATAGAAGTCAAGTTATACTTGAAATCATGACGAGGCCTTAATTAGGAATGGCCACAAGATCAAATGGCGAAAAAAAAAATTAATAAACAGCAGAACAACAGCTTAGCACCTACATTTCCTGAAATACCCTCTTCAAAATAAACAAAATGAAATCATTTGATTTTTCTAAAATCCCGTTAGCAAATCACCCTCTTTCGAACCCGGCTGAAGTGCCTTCCTATGTCTACATTAAGTTTGTTGTATTATTCCAATTGTTTCTACATATTTGGTCCTAAATGTGATAAAGTCCTTAATGTAAAAGCAACTTTTCCTTAACGTAATAAGCCTTCGATGCAATCGTTGATCTCCGCTAGCGTATTATTGTTATTACACCCACATTCAGGTGTTAAACTGACAGCTATCGCACCAAAGAATCCTCTGACCTGTATGAGTGCCATATTGCAGGTTTGCACTGATATCAATCAGCCTCTTTCTCTTCTAGAGTCCCAAAATAAGTAATGGATCCATGATTTTGGCAACATATTGATTGCTGATTCTTTTATTTTGGCCCCTCGTTCGATACCTTCGAACAGTCTCTCAGATGAGTCTCATGCATGAGGCGTGCGTTTATCGGCGAATGAAGATAATAATAATGATAATTTCCTTCATTTAAACAACGATAAGGATTTAAACTTTGTATCTTGTGGGGTCGTGTATTAATAGATCATTGAGTAGATGTTTGCATAGACAATAATAGAGAATTAAGGCTTAAAAATTTACCTAAATGTACTGACATGAAATAAATATCTACAATGTAAAGTTCTATAATTTGATTACCGTGCTATGTCACTGACTTAGGCCGTTGATGACGTGCTTCTGGT